CTATATTCATCCAGGTCTACACCTTGTTATCTCTCATTTTAACATGGTGTTTCTTTTTACTGTAATTGAGACTGGGAATATCATGGGGACTAACTTACCTCCTTACTCCCCAAGTCAGTCTATAAACCTAGCAACTGAATAGTTTCCATTTGCCTGAATGAATGTGGTTGCAACAGTACCCAAGAGTCTTGAAACCATCCGATACAAAGCAGTGTGCTTGATCAACAGCTCATCCAACATCTTAACATTCAATTCCTCCATTACTGGTGCACAGTGGTAGCTGTGTCCCATATGCAAGATGCAATGCAACTACTCACCAAGCCTCCCTCAAAAGCACATTCCAAGTCTGTGACCTGTACCATCTGGAAGAATAAGGACAGTAGGCTCACGGGAATACCATGAGCTGCAATTTCTCCTCCAAGTAAGTTACCACTCTGAATTTGAGCTGTATCACTGTGCATTCACTGGGTCAAAATCCTGGAGCTCACTGTGTAATAAAACTATGCATGTACCTACATCATTTGGACTATAGTTATGCAGGAAGGCAGCTCAACACCACCACCGCAAAGACATTACCAATGATGGTCACATTCCAACGCAATTGAGAAAATGGTTTGAATTTTGTCGTGGATGAATGGGAAAGGTTCACAGCTGACCAGCTGCTGCATATTCAATTCCACCCCAACATCAATGCTGTGGGTTTCTATATCAATGGAGTTTTAAGATCAGTGGTATAAGATGTCTTAAAGGGCAATTTGGACATAATTCTATTTTGCTTGCCCAAAGGCAAAAAAGACATTCCAATTGCAAAGCACAGCACAGAGGATATTGTACTCTAATTACATGCTATTATTATACTCTGTTGGCAGTGTGCCACAAGCAAGGTTACAAAGGCTGACTAATAAACTTCCTGTTGGCATTGTATACAATATTGTTAAGGTGGCAAATTTGACCTCTCGTAGGCCCTCAAGTTAGCCTGTTCCTTCATAAAGTATTGTGAAATAATGAATAAAAAATATTCATTTGATTTTTTTTAACATTTACTTTCTGGAACTTTATTCTCTAGTTTGTAGATTACATTTACTCGAGGTAAACATTTCAGCCTCTAAAACTAAAGGGGTGGGAAGTACTTCTCAAGAAATCATGAATTAGCACCAGCAAGGCATGAAGCACTTCAAATGGGAATAAGTAAAGTAATAAATAAATCAGAATTGCCACAATCTCATTTCCTTGCCGTTTAAGATCTAAGCCCTGGCAAATTGTGAACACAACTTATGACTTCTGCTCTTTTAAACTCCTTCATGAGGCAGAATCAAATATTGGCAATTATAGGATGAAAGGCTGATTGCTGTCTGTAGCAAGACTATAAATGTTTTTCAATATATTCATGATGATAATGTGCACAGCAAACTGAAAAATACTCCTAATTTATCAAAACAAAGTCACTGTTAGGAAGAAAATAGAGACAGAACGATCAAGATGATAGTCAGTTCTACTATTAACATCAAGTGTACTTCAAAAGGCTTTTTGGACTCAAAGCCATTCATGGTAATTGCAGTGTAAACAGCAAGTCTCAAGTTTTAACAATGATAAATCAAATCTAACTTAAGATCAAACAATCTTTAGACAGTAATTGTTACTGAGAAACATTTTAACATCAAATTTTTTTCCCTTATCCCCATAGTACAATGACTCATTCATCAAATGCCTGTGTGAGTAAGGCATCTGAGATGGTTTGTGAAGTCTTTACCACATCGATCTTAGATAAACGCTGTTGTGTTATTCTTCAAATAACACCAGATGGTTTCTTCAGACTTTGAAATTGTGCCATTGGGCCATTATAAATTCATAGCCTCCAAGTTGCTAAATCAGTACCATAACCACTAGGTGACTTGGCCAATAATAAAAAGAATAAATATTTTTCAAGAATAATCAACAAAATGATAATGCCACAATTGATCAATTAGGTGGGTTATTTTGTTTTTCTTGGTGAATAAATGTGGCAAAGAATCTTACAAAACATCTACCTTGATATCAAAGCTCCTTTAAGAAGAGTGCTCTGGGTGATGACTAAGCTTAAATTGGAGCTGACATGCTTTTAAACATATACGGATGTTTATATAGATATACAGATGTTTATATATTTATATATCCTTGAATTAGGAGCAAGGGTAGGCCCCTTGAGCCTGCTCAACCCTTCATTAAGATCATGGCTGATTTGATCACTCCAAATCCCACCTACCCTGCTATCCTTTCACCCCCTTTCTTATCAAGAATCTCTCTATCTTAGCCTTACAAGTATTCAATGATACTGCTTCCACTGTTTTTTGAAGAAGAGTTCTGAAGACTTATGGTCCTCTGTGAGAGAAAAATTCTCCTTATCTGTAGCTTAAAAGGGCAACTCAATTTTTAAATAGTGATTCCTAGCTCTAGCTTCTCCCACAAGAGGAAACATTCTTTTCACATACACACTGTCATGATCCCTTAGGATCTTAGACATTTCAATCAAGTCACCTCTTACCCTTTTAAACTTCAATGGATACAATCCCTGGCTCATTGAACTTTTCCTCATAAGATGGAGAATGAGTATATCTACCTGCACTAATTAGAGAACAGCGCATACATAGTGTGAGGTTGTTTTACACCAAGAAATCTCATCTCCATAGAATGCCACAAGTAACATGCCAAGTCAGTGGCAGAACCAAGTTACATGTACTGCATGCACACAGGCAACTTTCAGGAATTTGCTCAGGGATACTGCTGAGGTTTTTAAGTAAGAGGCTCTCTTGACAGTTTCTGCCACAATCTAATGAGGCATCCATCTCAAGAATGCTGGTAAAATCTAGCCCAATATGCTGAACATACAATTTACTGTACTAAGTTTCACCTGGTATAATCTGCTTTCTCATATATTTTGTATAATTTATGCTGCAATTTCTGACCTACTGACTTCAAGTTCATTGCCTCTCTTGATTTGAACACATCAGCAATTGTTCTAAGGGTACCAAAATCACTACTTACCCCTATCCCTACATATCTCCTCTAATAAGTACCCTTTAGTTTCTGTACTTTATCTAAATTCTTGAACACACAGAAGATTTAAACTGAATTCCTGTAGCTTCAGGCTTTAACAAACTTCTGTGTGAAGATTTATCAAACTTTGTTTCTTTGTTGTGGAATGTTGATGTTGCTGGCTATGCTAGCATATATTGTCAATCCCTAATTATCCTTGAGAAGGCTGTGTTTTTGAACCACTTTAGTTCTTAGGGTACAGAGAAATGCACAAGAGTTGTTGGGAAAGGAGTTCTAGGAGTTTGACCCAGCAAAGGTGGGTGATATATTTCCAGGTCAGGATGAAATATAACATGGGGGGATCTTGCAGGAGGTAGTGTTTGCATGCATCTCCTACCTTTGACCTTATGAGATAGATGCTATGGATTAGGAAGAACTCTCAAAGGTGCCTCGGTGAGTTGCTGCAGTGCACCTTGAAGACGGCACACAGTGCTGCTTCTGTGTATTGATAGTTGAGGTAGTGAATGCTGAAAGAGGTGGTTGGTTGGTAATCAAATGGACCGCTTTGTCTGAGAAGATGTTAAGCTTCTTAAGTGTTGTTGGAACTGCACTTACCTTGGCAAGTGTGGCGTATTCCATCACAGTCCTGACTAGAGCTTTGTAGATAGTGGACGGCCAATGGGAAGAAAGGAGGTGAGTTGCTCACCACAGAACTCCCAGC